TAATAGGGAAGAAAAGTAATGACAAATGTGTAGGATGTGGAGAGAAAGAAAATGTAGGGCATGAATTAATGAACTGTAGAACATATGAATATGAAAGGGAGAATTTAAAAATAATGGTTGGAAGGACAGGTCAAGAATGGAGTCTTAAAGGAATATTAGGAAATGAAGGAAACATAATGGGTATTTATATATTAAGGAAAGCATTATTTCTTTTTCTTCAAAATACAAGATTAATAAATAGATTTTAATAGATGTAAAGAAATGTTGCTACACACTCGTGTACAGTAGGTGGCGGTATGCACCTTAAAGTTGCTTGCAATCCGCCAAGATTAATAAATAGATTTTTATAGATGTAAAGAAATGTTGCTACACACTCGTGTACAGTAGGTGGCGGTATGCACCTTAAAGTTGCTTGCAATCCGCCATAATAGAAAAGAAGAAGAAGAAGAAGAAGAAGGGAATTACCTAATTAAAGGAAATTACCTAATTTCCCTCTGGGATCAATAAATATTTTTGAACTGAATTGAATTGAATTGAATTGAATTGAAGAACACTTCTCTGTCTGATCATTGTACTGCTTTACCCATGTTTGTTCATACCTCATGTTCTTGTTCCAAGCCTGGTTTTATTGTTTTGCCACCACGTTGGCTTTTTGCCTAATTAAATTTTTTTCTTTACTTGAAGTTTTGCCTGCCTGCCTGCATTTTTGGGTTCTCCTCACCATCCAGTTTAGTTTTAAATAAAGATAAGGCAGATTTATTAGTGGAGACATTTGTTGCAGTTCACAGTGGTGAACAGCTTACAGATATCCATAGACAGCAGAAAATACAAAAACTTGGAAATTATAAAAATATTATGGAAAAATATCAAAAATGCATTTCAACATTAGACATGAATATAAGCAAGAAAGAAATGAAAACGGTACTGAAACGGACAGGATACTCAGCTCCAGGAGAGGCTCAATTATGTAATGCTATGTTTCGACAGATTCCAGATGCAACATTGAAATTAATACTACAGTTATTTAATAAAATATGGAATGAAGGTTTAATACCAAATAGCTGGAAAAGGGCAATAATACTTCCATTTAATACACCTGGGAATGATCCTATTAGNATCGTTCACACCTAATTAACACATATTGTTAACAGGGGGTGGAGTGATACTGCCAATGGCAGCGCTGTAGGAGGGGGACAACTGAAAATGGAGGCCTCCACCTCTGTTTAATGATGGACGGTCTTTCTTCACAAAAATGGCTTCTTTTAAGATAGGCCAAAGCAAAAAAGAAGCCATTTTTGTGAAGAAAGACCGTCCATCATTAAACAGAGTTGGAGGCCTCCATTTTCAGTTAAATCTGAAAAGAGAATATAGTGAGAGGAAAAGCAGTTTGTAACAGTAACTTCCTGCATCAAATGGCTTGAAAACTGAGAGATTAGAAGTGTCCTGCAGCAGCAGAGCAGGTTCTGCTTTGATWACTCAAAGTGCCCTTGAACCAAGAGCTGAACTGATCATTGTTCCTGTGAWGCTTTACTCAGAAGCAGAAACCTGGAAGCTGTCCTGCTGCTGCAACATCAAAYACAGCAGCTCTGATTGTGGCTCTCAAAGACAGTTRCTATGCTGCTTTATTTTCTTACAACAAACAGTAGTGTGCTGCTGGATAAACTAAAAAAATGTTGGAAATCACATTTTTAGTCCTCTTTCTTTACATAAACTGCTCTTTTCAACCTGCCTGACATAAAAAATAATTGTGTCTATTCTTTATTTTATTAAATGTAATTTTATAGAAGCTAGAAACGTTTTTCAAATACCTTCCGAGTAAGAATAAATATTTTCACAGATGGAAGTGAGGCTTATTTAAAAACTTAAAGCCAACATATAAAAAATGCTTCTCTGTTGATTTTTCTGAACAATAATTTATTGTCTTTATGTAAACAACAAAAAAATAACAACAATCCAGCACATCCAAGTCCAATACAATAGCTATCAATCAAATATTTGAGTTGTACAGTAGCTGTACAAATCTGGGTCAAAACACATAATCCACAGTTTGTCAAAGATTGAAAAAGTAAAATGAGAAAAAAAGACATTAATTATATTTAAAAAAATGTGATCCCCCTTTATTCAACATTTCAGCAAGCTCGCTAGGCAAGTGATCTAATAAAGGTTGCCATATCCCATAGAAAACATTGCAGTTACCCTTTATGATAGCACTAAGGCGCTCCAGCGGAAATATCTTGAATGTCTCCCTGTACCACTGTGTAACAGAGGGGGTTGTCTCTTAATCCACTGAAACATGATACATTGCCTTGCTAAATGTAAGGTTTTACCTAATTAAGTAATTTCGTAAAAGTTAAAGTTGAGTTAAACTCAACTCGTAACTCCGCTGTTAATAATGAGCGCTATTTTAGAAGATGAGTGGACTCCGCTGCACCCAGTCACATAGCATGTGGGGTCTGTGTTGGTGATTAAAATAATGAGTAATCACGTTGATAACTACTAACAAAAATATATACTCCCCATGTCAAATACACAATACAACTGCAACCTGGATTCATCCGTGAACATCACTCTTCTTCAGCGTGCAAAGGGCCATTGGACATGTGCATTTGCCCATGTGAGTCGGTTCCTACGCCGGACAGCAGTGAGATCCAGACCACGGTGAGGGCGCCGAGCTTGCAAATTGGCTTCTCGTAGGCGGTTACGGACAGTCTGAGGTGTGATGCGTCTGTTGTGCAGACCAATAGTCTCATCAGCTGTCTGTGTCGCTGGTCTTAGTCGATCCCGCAGATGGATGAGCCAGATGTGGTGATCTTGTGCTGGAGTGGTCACACGTGGCCGACAAGGATGAGGTTGATTTGCAGTAGTGCCAGTCTGTTGGAAACAAACTCTCAAACGGGCTATGGTCCAATAATGGACATTGAACCTTGCAACTACTGCTCTGGTAGACATCCTTGCATCCAACATGCCAATGGCACGCTCCTGCATAACTTACGACATTGGAGGCATTATGACATGTGATAAAATTGACATTTTGGGGTGGCCTTTTATGGTCCCCAGTCCAAGGATTGTCCAGCTGTTGCTCTTTTTGTCTGATCACCCACTGGACATGCCCCACCCACGCACTGAGCAAAAAAACAACTCACTGAGTAATGCTCACTGACAGCAAGTTGATCAGAAATTATACACAAATCAAGAAAAAAATTACCTTTGTACAATAAAATGTCAGCAAATGCTCATTTACTATTGTTAACTCACCATGGCAACAATATTTGACGTGGGGCATTTATATTGTTGTTAAGTGTAGTTATGCAATGGAGCTGTTGCATTTTCTTAGCAAAAAAGGAGCTTGTGAACTTGTAGGACAAGGGCTAAGCAAACAAGTAAAACCTATACATACATGGTATAAAACCACGTTATAGATTTGTACATTTTCTTACACTCGATAGTTACTGTGCACTAAATAACCAACACTTAGAATATTTAAAATATAAGCACAAATGGAAACTTACTACGTTTGTTGGGCGTAGCATTGTAAGAAAATACGTATTCAATAGACTGAAGTCAATATGAAAACCACCATTGTTAAATAAAATGATTCGTAGAAGGAATAAAACCATACAACACCAGAATTCTGGAACCGAGTGAGGTTTATTGCCACCAGAGCTGACAGGAAACCACACTGGCGAAAAACCAGGAAGTACATCAATTTATACATGATTCTTCAATGCCTGCGTTCGCCCCCTACTGACCTACGGCTGAATCACAGGCATTCAGACAAAAATCTCATCTACTGTTATCATAATGTTTTAATTATGTGTTGTTATAATTCGAACATGTACCTAATCTATATCAATCAAAACATTACTATAAAGCATTATTATAATTATAAAAAGGAAAACCTAAAAATATAGTGTTGTGCTTTTAACATCAGTACTAACTTCTAATAACTATAAATTTCTTCAATCCCCCTTTTTACATGACCAAATCATGTGAACTAAAATAAGAAATTTATAATAAGCTATATGTTTGCATTAAGGCACAAATGTGTATGCAAATTACCCTAAGCGATACAGCACAACGTGTAAAATTTCTAACATCCCACCCCTGATATAAAGTAATATGATCCATTTATTCCACCCCAATCAAAATAGAAAACATAAAATGAACTATTGTCAAATACCAACCAGGTCAGCTGTGTTTATTCTAATTGAGGCCAGAGGTTCCAGAACTTGGCCCACCGTCGGGAACAAGTCCTCAGCACGTTCCATCTCCTCCTGTCTTCCATGGCAGACTGACCCGGTTAATAATAACATCCCTGCATATTAAGATTTAACCTTAGCTCATCAACAATTAACCCATACAAAGAACAGTAAAAAACAAATCAACCAAAGTGTTAAAGCATTTTTAAACATATCCTCCTTAGTGTGTCACTTCTATAAAAAGAATCAATAATGAAAAACAAAGGAAAATCAAACAACATTTTACCAAAATCATTTACAATCAACTCATTAACCTACAAATTTCATGTCCAACTACATGAGTGTTACTATTTCAGTGTTATCATTCTGTATCTAAAAATGTCAGCTAGAATTATCATTTTTAGGGCCTTGGTCTCCATATCAGTCATCCTCGCCATACGGGTATTGAAGTGGTGGCCCTGGAGCGGCGTCCGATGTCTGTACCATCTGATACTCCATGGTGTGATGTTGGTTTAAGGTGTTTTGAACAGTCTGGGAGATGGCCCTTAAACACAATATTCTAGCCACAGGGATGCCACAGAAATAGCAAAAACCTAGTATTACCACCATCATGACTAATGGCATCACAATAGCAGACATCAGATTCTTCCAACCTCCAAAAACTTTTATGAACCATCCCTCCGTCTGCGTGGCAGACCTTAAAATATCATTCATCTCCGCAGACAACGTTCGTAGACCTTTAACAGCCTTTGTAAATGACCCATCAGTTTCAGTATTTCCAGGAATAAATGTACAACAAGATGACCCAAAAAATGAACACACTCCACCTTGTTCTGCTAATAAATAGTCTAATGCAATGCAATTCTGATAAGCCATTAAAGATGTTGCAGCCAACTGCTCATGTGCAATCTGAAGGGCATCCCTGGTCAAATTATTAAGGCTCTGCAAAGAAAAATGAATAAAATTGATACGATCCACGTTTTTATTAAGGATAATCCAAGGTAAAATGCTTTCAAAGCCAGCTGCCACCTGATAGATCAATTTAAACTCAGTAGGAACCCCAATAGCATCAATATACACTGGACTGCTTGCATATATGTCAAACTCACGTTTAACCCAGTTCAAGTTAAGAACCTGCTTATCCAAGAGAGCCCGATGTTCCTGCAATTCATCAATCGTGATATTTACAAACCTGACCGGTGAGACCAGGGACACTTCCGCACACAGCCCACTCCAACCTGCTGGCAACACCTTTAACAAACGATTATTACCACAGTACCAAAATACATCCGACCTAGACACATTTAACATTGTTGCATTCTCCCACAATGATACATCAATCACCTGTTTGCACCAGGTCACATTCAGCCGTCCAACATCTATGCTTCTCTGCCGCCTCCTTCTGGCCAAACAAGTGAAACTGCCTTCCACCGCCTTGAAGACAGGAGGCACATCTGTTCTTGAAGACATAGGAAAGAAATGTTCTAAATATTTACACTGAACTGATGGGTTTTCAGTAATATGTAATTGCAACAGACAGAAAAAAGTTGAAGCATTACTCAGAGGTGATGGCATCGTTAGTACTGGCCTTGCCTCTGCACATACCACACAATTTGACAATTTTGCTTGACTGGCTGCATTTCTGACAAATCTCAACCAATAATTAGTTTCAGTAACTCCAGTATCTACAACAAGTTCTTTACTAGATCCCACATCAACTGTTAGCTCCAAGTCGCTAAGCTGCACCACATGAATATAGATTTTACCAACTGGGTCTCGTCCTCTCACCGCCAGCCCCATCAGCAGAAATCCAATATCTGACACCTGTGGATTTCTCAAAGTCAGAAACATATTGTAGGGTTACATATAGAATCATTATTACACAGGCCCACTTTAATTTGGTCTCTCCTAATTTCTAGTCAGTCTTGAAAAGGAATTTTTCCCCATCAGCCTAACTGGTAACCACACCCAAAGTCCTTGTTCAAATAAGGCATTATTTCAGTCRTACAGACATATACTCTTGCTGATTGGTAAACCCCCTGTTCTGATCCACACTCAATGACGGAGCACAGATCAAAGAAAATGGAAGCAGTTTGCCCCTCCACAAAAGTAAATTTGTAAGCCTCATAATGTACATCTGCTCTTTTCCCTTTGCCTTTCAAAAATTCCAGCGGAGCCTTGTTTGAGACGTTATGCATTTTTTCAAACACAAAATCATCGTAAGAGGGCAGATCAGTCACGTTGTCAGGGATTAGGGCAGTCAGGTTAGTCGTCAGGTTAATGTGCTTCTCATCATTATTTTCTGTGTTTTGCATCCCACATGTTAATTCAAAACAACAAATAAAGAAATAAAATAAAAACAGACATTTTCCCCCGGAAGCCATTATCAATCTCATATGATGGCTTTAGTTTATTTTTTAAGAATATTTCCCTTTTTTTAACAATATTTCCTACTCCTTAAATTATATGGAGGTTGAAACTCAGATTCAGCACTTTGTCTCCCTCTTCAAAAGGAGCATTCAGTTCACCCAACTGTTTTTCAATGTGTTTCTTAGTTTTTTCTGTAAAAGCAACCAATTTGCAGCAGTGTGTCTTATGAATCCAATCACTCAACTTTGTCTCWGACAACCACACCTTCACACAGTGAGATGTTGTCTCCGCAACTTGAAATGGTCCGTGCCACCTCGGCTGACGCCATTCAAAACGTGCCAACTTCCTCASCACCCAATCCCCTGGATTGACGACCTCACAGTGATCGCCGTCGTTCCGTGTCAATACATCCACCACCTGTTGGGACAGACTCATGACAGTATTTCTCAATCTCATCATGGATTCTGACATCACATCATGCAGCATTTGTACAGTGTTACATTCTGAAGGCATAGTTGTCAGCAGACATGGCATTTTTCTCCCCGTTAACAGCTCATGTGGACTCACATTCAGTTCTCCCCCTGGACTACACCTAATATTAAATAAAACAAGAGGCAAAGCTTCCACCCAGTTCAACTTTGTGTCTGCACACACCTTAGCTAAACTTTCCTTCAGCGTCCTGTTTGCTCGCTTCACCTTGCCCTGGGACATCGGATGGAAAACCGCCCCAAACTGATGCTTGATCCCAAACATCTGCTCCACTTTTAGCTGTTCCTTATTTGAAAAATGCCTAGCATTATCAAATCTTATAACTATAGGTACACCAGACCTTGGAATGACCTCACGAGACAACCACTTTACCACCTCAGATGCTTTCTCCATGCGTGYTGGCACCGCTTCAATCCATCCACTAAACGTGTCTACACAAACGAGCATAAATCTCTTACCCTGAACCCTGTTGCCAGCTCCCATGTCTGTGAAATCAATACACATTTCCTTCCACGGAGCCGCAGGAACCAGGAATGCACCGAGACCAACCTTCAGCACCCCCTTCAGGTTGTGTCTGGAACAGATTTCACACATCTGAACAAAATACTCAGAAATTGCTCTGATACAGTATTAGGATGCCACCAAACCTGAGTGTCAAGCATCTTAGCACTGGAACAATGCCCCCTACTGTGAGCCTCCTGACACAACAGGTTCACCAGAGTTTCAGGAGTCACAATCTTTCCCTCATGGTTTCTGTAGATGCCCTCAGCATCCTGTCTGGGCCCTCTGTCTTTCCACAGTTGTTTCTCTGAAACGGCAGCATTAGTTTGCAACTCCAGTATAGTCTGATCATCAAATTTTTTCTGCAAAATGTTTTCCTCAGAACTCCCAGCAGCACCGCCTCCTTCCACCTGAACCATCTGACTGTTTTTCTCATAACCAGCACACACTTTTGCTGCTCTGTCAGCCTGAAAATTCCCTTTCGCCACCAYATCACACTTTTTCTGGTGAGCCCTACATTTCAAAACTGACATGCCCGTGGTTGTCTCAATGCATAGTATAAATCCAATATTTGTTGCAGGTGACTTATTGGCTGTCCCGAAGCAGTCATAAACCCTTTTTTCATCCACTGACTCAAATCAATATGGACACAGCGATGCACATAGTCTGAATCTGTGTAAATGTTAACTGTTTTTCCTGTAGCCAAATTACAAGCCTCTGTCACAGCTTTTAATTCAACTAAATGAGCTGACGCTGGTTGTTTAATGACCTCTGACTTCAGCACCACAAACTGTCCCTGACGTTCTGACACCACAGCAAAAGAGGCAATCAGCGCACCCCCTTCAGTCTTATGAGAATGTCTGTCAGTAAACAATGTTATGTCAGCTCCATCTAGAGGGTCCTTAAAGACGTTGTCATGTACTCTCATTTCCTGGTGTGTCACATCTGCATAAATGTGGTCCTGACATGTCGTCATGTGAGAAGCAACATTCACTCCCTCCGCCGTGAAATGAATATGCGGTCTGTCCAGTGTAGGGGTCACCTCGAGTGAAGAAACAAGATTTACTGCCTCGAAGCAGGCCTCGGACAGGCCTGACGAGAGGACAGGAACTCTGTCACAAACTGAACTCTATTTTAGGCCATGTCAGGTCATTTTAACCTAGAAGAGAATTCCTCAGTTCTCTTAATCAGATAATGGACAGAACAATCTCTTCTGTTCGTGATTCATTTGTTGTTTAACTAAGAATGTTTATGCATTTGTTAAATCATGATAATGATTGTCACAAGAAAAGTGGAACCAGTTCTCTTCTCTTATCGTGCCTTAAAGATTAATAATGGTATAAAAAAATCACACAGAATCTCATTACAATGTTTGCATTGTGTTCTTATATAAATCACTGTTTTTATTTTACTGTGAACACAGTAATATAATTGTGGATTTTTCCTGAGAAAATCTTTCATTTATCTGGACTAACAGCATGGTTCAGAACTGATTATAAACAGAAATGTTAATTAATCATCATAAATGTTTTGCAGTGATTTCTCTTAGAGTCTACCAGAAGAAAGCTAAAGAAGTTATCATCCTGTTGTTGAACAGCCATAGAATTTTAGCTTTGAGCTGGCGCCGCTGGCAAGTCTTTATCTTTCTTTCTTTCTTTCTTTCTTTCTTTCTTTCTTTCTTTCTTTCTTTCTTTCTTTCTTTCTCTGACTCAACTCTACGCCTGAGGGCGGAACCAAAGACTGTCCGTTTCTATTACTAACCACGGATGTCTTTGAGAGACACACTCTTCTTCCTGATTTCCAACCTGGGAAGACAGCTGAGTTTCTCTCCGGAGAAGCCAGTTTGGCTTTTAGGTCTTAGCCCATGAGCTAACTAGGGGGGACCTAACAGCAGAGACTCGGCACGCCAGCCAGTCCCACCCCGAGGCTTCAAGTCTCTAAGTGTGTTTTTAACTCCCGAGGGGAGATTTTATTTTGAAAGAAGGAACCGGATGTACAGCTTGAATCTTTCTGGCTTGGACTGAAACAGACGAAAAGTTACCTGGAAAACACCTTTTTCGCCAAGGACCAGTAAGCGAGCCGATAAAAGTTCCCTGACTGATCAGAGGTGAGACAGTTCCTACCCCGGGGGTGATTTAAGAAGTCATCACCAGGTAAAGCTGACGTGTTCAGGGTGACGTGTCATGTGGAAATCTAAGTGACCAGAAGGGACGTGCTGATCCGGTTGACCACACTTTGTTATAGTAAAATTAGTAGTACCCTACTAACCTTACTTTCCTCCTTTTCTTTGTTCTTTATTTGCCAAAACATAAGCTGAAAGTGCCAGTAAAATTGTTTGGTTGTTAACATCAGAGCTGACGTTTTACTGTTCTATATAAGTAATCTGAGTTGATGTGAATTGAAATTTGCACGCAGGTTTTATCTCATTTAACTCTGATGCTTGTTATAGGAATAACCACAACAGAGTGTAACTTATGACCTGTTCAATTTGTGTAAGTAAATGATTGCATAGAACTCGTCTAATCGTTCACTTATTGTGTCACTTTTCACTTCACACAGTCAAGATATTAAAAGTAATGAGAAAATACCTTGGTAAAACTTTCCTCATAACTTTGTGTATGAGAGATGTGGGAGAAGCTTAATGCCACCTTAAGCCCCTCTCCTACACCAGCAATCTCTTAACATTTTCTGCCCTGTTTAGTGAAAATGTAAATGCCTGGGAGTCTACGAACGCCTTTACATCATGCAAAGTATGTACAATCACCTGATTAGCCATGGTCATGTGGGATGTTTTTACTACAGCTTTCATGATGGCTGCTACATGTCTCACACAAGATCGGTGACCTCTTTCAATGTGATCCAATTTCGAACTGTGATACATCAAAATCCTCCTATTGTTTTCAAATCCCTTCTGATACAGCACAGCATGCACAAACCCCTCCTCCTCATGTACATCTATGTGAAATGGCTGTGAATAATCAGGACTCTGCAATGCACATGCACCTGCCAAGCTTTGCTTCACCTGAACAAAAGCCCTGTCTGCCRCCTCTGACCACACTAGAGGAGCTGAGTACATCCTGTAACCTGCAGCTGAAATCAACTCCCTCAGTGGAGCAATTTTACTGCTGAACTCAGGCACAAAAGATCTGCTGTAATTTACCAGCCCCAAAAATTTCATCATTTCCCTCACTGTTTTAGGCTTCGAGTAGCTCAGAATAGAGGTTTTCTGTTTTTCTGTCAATTGAAACCCTTCACCGGACACCACTCTCCCTAAGAAGGTGACATTTTCACGACCAATTTGCAACTTCTGTCTGGAAACTTTAAAACCACACCTCACCAGATGTCGTAGAACCATGTCTGTTGCTTCTAAAATGCTGTCAGAATCCTCTGCAGCCACCAAGATGTCATCCACATACATCAAAAGCAATGTCGWTGGAGGCAAAGTTAACTCCTGCAATTTTTGTCTCAAAATGTGGTTAAATATAGATGGTGAATCCACAAACCCCTGTGGC